ACAGAGTATTTTCACTGTCCTAAAAATTCTATGTTCTGCCTGCTCTTACCTCCCCCCACACCCTCAAATCCAGACAACCAATGATCTTTTTACTTATAGTTTTGCCTTTTCCAGAATGTCATATAGTCGGAATTATATAATATGCAACCCCTTCAGATTGGCTTCTTTCACTTAATAATATGCACGTAAGTTTCCTCCATGCCTTTTCATGGTTTGATAGCTCACTTTTCTTTAGTACTGAATAATATTCCATACTCTGGATATACCATAGTTTGTTTATCCATTCACCTACTGAAGGACCTCTTGGTTGCTTCCAAGTTTTAGCAATCATGAATAAAGCTGCTATAAACATCCATGTAAAAGTTTTTGTATGGACATACATTTTCGATTCATTTGAGTAAATACCAAAGAGCATGATTGCTGGACCATATGGTAAGAGTGTGTTACATTTTGTAAGAAATTGCCAAACTGCTTTCCAAGAATGACAATACCGTTTTGCACTCCCCCTGCTAATGAATAAGTTTTCCTTTTGCTCCACATCCTTGTCTGCATTTGGTATCGCTTGTGTTTTAGATTTTGGTCATTCTAATAGGTATGTAGTTGTATCTTATTTCTGTCTCAATTTGCAATTCTCTAATGGCATATGATGTTGAACATCTTTTCATATGCTTGTCATCTACATACCTTCTCGATACCCATCAGTTCTGGTCTTCTGTCCATTTTTAAATTGGGCTGTTTGTTTTTGTATTGTTGAGCTTTAAGGGTTCTTTGTATATTTTGGATAACAGTCCTTTATCAGATGTGTCTTTTATAATACTTTCTCCTTGTCTGTGGCTTGTCTTTTCATTCTCTTGACCCAGTCTTTTGCAGAGCAGATATTTTCAATTTTAATGAATTCCAGCTTATCAAATATTTTTCATGGATTATACCTTTGGTGTTGTATCTAAAAAGTCATTACCCTACTCAAGGTCATTTATGTTTTGTCCTTTGTTATCTCCTAGTAGTTTTATAGTTTCACATTTACATTTAGGTCTATGATCCATTTTGAGTTAATTTTTGTGAAGGGTATAAGGTGTGTGTCTAGATTCATTTTTTTGCATATGAATGTCCAGTTGTTCTATACCATCTTTTGAAAAGATTGTTTTTGCTCCATTATATTGCCTTTGCTCCTTTGCTTAAAGATCAGTTGACTATTTTTGTGGGGGTCTATTTATAAGCTCTCTATTCTGTTTCATTAATCTATTTGTCTATTCTTTCAATGCCACACTATCTTGATTTCTGTGGCTTTACAGTAAGACTTAAAGTCAAGTAGTATCAGTCCTCCAGCTTTGTTCTTCAATATTGTGCTGTCTATTCTGGGCTTTTGCCTCTCCATATTAACTTAGACTCAGTTTGTTAATTTCCACAAAATAACTTGCTGGAATTTTTATTGGAATTACATTGAATCTATAGATCAATTAGGAAGAATTGACACCTTGCTGAGGGTGTTTCTGGAAGAGATTAGTATTTGAATCAGTAGACTGTGTAAAGGTCACCCTCACCGTTATGGGCAGGCATCATCCAATTCATTCAAAAACTAGAAGGAGGGCAAATTTGTTCTACACTTGGGCTGGGACATCCATCTTCTCCTGCCCCTCAGACATCAGTGCTCCTGTTCTTGGGTATTTGGTCTTGGGCAGTGACTTACACCATCAGCTCCTTTGGTTCTCAAAAATGTTCAGACTTGGAGCAAATTACACCACTGGTTTATCTGGTTCTCCAGCTTGCAGATGGCAGATCATGGGACTTCTTGGTCTCTATAATTGTATGAGCCAATTCCTATAATAGACCTGTTACACACACACCAATAACTTACTGGTTCTGTTTCTCTGGAGCACCCTTCTTTCTTAGCATATCATTATACTTTTTAAAAAAGATTTCATTTATTTGAGAGAGAGAGAGAGCAACTTATTGGTTCTGTTTCTCTGGAACCCTAACACACCCTTCTTTCTTAGCATATCATTATACTTTTTTAAAAAGATTTCATTTATTTGAGAGAGAGAGAGAGCATGAGCAGAGGGGGAGGAGCAGGAGGAGAGGAAGAAGCAGACTCCCTGATTAGCAGGGAGCCCAATGCAGGACTCGATCCCAGGACCCTGAGATCATGACCTGAGTTGAAGCAGACGCTCAACCAACTGAGCCACACAGGTGCCCTCAATTATACTTTTTAAAAAAGTTATGTTATGTTAGTCACCATACATTACATCATTAGTTTTTGATGTAGTGCTCCATGATTCATTGTTTGCATATAACACCCAGTGCTCCATTCAATACATGCCCTCTTTAATACCCAGCACCAGGCTAACCCATCCCCCCACACCCCTCCCCTCTAGAACCCTCAGTTTGTTTCTCAGAGTCCATAGTCACTACTTTTTAAAAAAACTTTTTTAAGTGGTTGCTCTAGAATTTGCAATATACATTTATAATTAATCCAAGTTTGCTTTCAAATAACACTATTTTGCTTCACAGGTAGTGCAACCATCTTATAATACCAAATTATTCCTACTTTAAAATAATTACAGATTTACAGGAAGTTGCAAGAACGGTACAAAGAGGTTCTGTGTACTCTTCACTCCATTTTCCCCACTGGTAACATTTTACATAACTTTAGAACAATAACAGAACCAGGAAATTGTTATTAGCACAATTCATAGACCTTATTAAAATTTCACCAGTTTCACATACATGTATCTGTGTGTGTGTGCATGTGTGTGTAGTTCTATGCAATTTTATCACGTGTGTAGATTTGAGTAACCACCACCACTGACTAGAATGTTTATTGCTATATGTAAGGGGGAGTCTGAAATGAGGCATTTAATGAGAGAGAAGGGGGCAGGGACAGAGACAGGTAAGGAGAGAGACAGAGGGAGAGAGAAGAGAATCATATAGTGAATTGTTCATGTCTAAGAGACTCAAGATAATGTGGAAATCAGCTATCTAAAGAGATGATCAATTCAATGATATGCAGAACTACATGTGGCCAACAGGGCAGTGAAACTTTTCTAGTGAGGAATCCCGTAAGATTACTTAAGATAAGGAAATAATTTATATGAGACACAAGACTATCCAAGTAAGACCATGTCTGCCTGCAGAATATGAGAAGAGTAAACAATAACCCGAATGCTTCTATAATGAGTACAGGCAAACAGATGCAGAGGAATGCAGGAATGCTTCCCTTAAGCAGGGAATAGATCAGGGAGCACGTGTCCACCATGGCCAGGCTGTAAGATTTCTGTACAGGGGCACTGTGGGCTTTTAGGGCCAGACAATTCTCTGTTGGGTATGCCTTTATATGCGGCCCAGATCTTTAGCACTCCTGGCCCATGGCCACCTGGCACTATGAAAACAAAGCATATCCAACAAATTTCCAAAAGTATCTAGGGGTTGTGACAATATCCCCAATCAAATACCACAAAAACCTTCCTCTTCTACAGGAAGAATATTCTTCTCCCTGACTTCCTCAGTCCCTGTTTCTACTCACTGGGGCTTTTTGTTTTTTTCTCCAGAGACTGCCGATAATAGACACTCTGGATTTTTAAAGTTATTTTCATATGTGCTTTTATTATGGAAAGTGAGTTTTCTTACACATGACTGCCTTCCATTCTGGCTGATCTACCCTGAGTAGGCCTGAGCCCATACCATCAAAAGTGACCATTAGCAAAAGGAGAGAAGGGGGTACCATTCTATCACAGCTGAAATTTAAAACTAAGGGTACCAATTATACAAAAGGCCTTGGCTGGGACTTTATTCAAAGCATTTTAATGACACTCAGGGAAGATAGATTTGTTAAAATCTAGTAACTCTTTTTCTATCAACTTAAGAACTTTAGGGGGCACCTGGGTGGCTCAGTTGGTGAAGCATCTGCCTTGACTCAGGTCATGATCTCAGGGTCCTGAGATCGAGTCCTGCATCGGGCTCTCTGCTAAGTGAGGAGTCTGCTTTTCCCTCTACACTCCCCTCCTGTTGGTGCTCTGTCTCTCTCTCCCCCTCTCTCAAATAAATAAATAAAATCTTCAAGGAGGTTTAACTTTCAAGGAAAGGAAAATGCAATTCAATGTGGGCTTATCGTTTGTTGTATTAACACTAAGCTAAGTACGGCAGACTCTTCAAAAGAAGCATTAGCTTTGCTACTTGATTTCAAGGAGCTTAAAGTTTCATTGGGGTAATAATATATTAACCCTGAAAATAATTAGAGATATCAGATATAGTTCCCATCAGAAGTAATTATAAAAGAGATGAGACTAGGGAAGAGGTGATTATGGCTCCAGAGAGCCACAAACATCTTTCTGGAGAAGGACGGGAGTGGGGAGCTGGGGAGGAGGTTTGCAATAGGATTGGAAAGGGAGAAGGTAAAGCTGTTAAGGAAACTTAATTATTGCAAGTAATATTCTTCAATGCATTTCAAGACAAAAGAAAGAGGAAGCTTGGTATGCAGACTGGAAAATAAAATGATGAGGAGGGGAGCTGATGTTTCACTTTCATCAGTGTTTTAAAGTTATATTTGGCTTATGCCAAGGAACAGCCTTTGACATCAGAACATACCTTGTATGTTATATATACCAGGTATTATAGAGGATGGAAGTTGTGTTGCAACAATGCCTAGAATGTTCCCCATTAGACTCTCCATTGTTCTCAGCCATGACCTAATTTCTATGCACTTTAACTGGGTCCCTAAGAGGCTTGTGGATCAAAAACCTTCATTTTTAAATTCTTAATTTTTAACACACATAGGTGTTTAGAAGGAAGCAATGAAATGTTTTGAAGCTCATTTCTAGTGGAAATGAATCAAGAATAGCATTGACATTTTGTGCAATTATATAGACAAATTTGTGCAATTGTATCGACAAATTTGTGCTTTGATTGTATTCTGTTTTTATTGTGTCGTTTACTTTGGGTGGTAAATCATGGCTTGGGAACAAGGATGTTTAGCACCGAACTAAGATTTGTTTTGCCAAAACAGATAGTCAGCTAAGAGTAAGTTTGTGTGCTGTCAGAAGCACATTGTAAGGTGTTGAAATGAAGCATATGGTGTTAGTCTTTTTCTCTAATTGTGAAAGGACCCTGTCTCGAGGGACCATTGCCTTGACTTGTGGGGACTTGTGTGATGGCCACTTGACTTCAGCACCGTCCTGGCTTCATGAAAAGATACAGAGACGTGAGTAGAGGGAGCAGCCGATGCTCTTTCCAAATGGGAATGAAGAAGGGGCTGAATGGAGAGTGTTTCCCTCCTTGACTCTGGCAGTTGTTTAAGTTTCTCTATTCATACTGGAAATAATGTAGCTTATATTTGAATCCACTTTTTAAAACGTTTGGACTTTTATAAATGGTTGATATTCTGTCCATTCCTGAACGGACGAATCCAGGAGAGGCCGGGGCTCCACTGTTCTGCCTATTGTGCCCCATGGGCCTCTGGGGAATCCCTTCATTTATTCATCTTTTCTTTGCTTTGCACACTTTGGATCCAGTTTTGAAGAGGCAATCCTGACGGATGCTACTGTGACAAGAACTTGCTGAGTATCTTCACCAAAGGGAGCAGATTCTGAGGCTGGCTTTTTCTCACTAGTGAATAGAACAAATGAGGACAATTAGGCACTGCAAAGATATTTGCTGTAACAGTTGTTTTTCTGATCATAGTGACTGATTCTTTAAACATATAATTAAATTCCAAAATAAAGTATGCTTCTATTCAGGTAAAAGGAAATTCATGATGTTGTAATTTGTAGTGTTTTCATTTTCAACTGTTTTCATTTTCCAGTGCAAGAATCGCTAGTGAAGAGAAATGACCCTGTGGTTTTATTATAGTTTGTGTATTAGTCCCAGTTCTCCATAAAAACAGCTCTGTTCCCCTTTTACCCTCCCCAGAGCTGGAGTTTCTGATGGAGAAGCCAGGTACACATCCATGGTATGGTCTGTCTTGGGACACTAAATCTAATTCAATCCTCAAATTTTACAGAAACAGGCTCAGAGGAAACTCTTGGAATTTTATCAATGGAATGAGACTCAGTGTGGTATCTTTAAGCACCATAGTTTAAAAGTCATTTATCATCAGAAAAAGAAAACCCCTATTGCAAAGGTCACAAACCAAAGAGGGCAACTCTTGAGCAGTATTACACCAAGTTGCAATTGAGGTAAACAATCGGTCAAAATCAAAGTTTAGCTAGTGTAGGTCTTCCTTGGAGAACCAGACCCATATCACAACAGTACCTGATGCATCACAACTGAAACTGCTCTCCGTGCAAGGGTAATTCTATAGGCCCAGAATATAGAAGTTTATGAACAAAGTCCCTGTCTTTCAGGTTGGGCTCTAAGAAGTGATCATTATAAAGGAAACAATAAATAACAATTAAACAATTAATTTGACAATTAAACATGACAATTAAACATAACAATAAAAAATGACAATTCTCATAATTATAAAAGAATGAATATAATTACTGTGTATGAGCTACTGTGCCCTTCAGAGGCATCTTCTTATTTAAACCTCCCTATTCTTTGTGGGTACCTAAAGATAAATAATTTACTCAGGTTGCTGAGGGCGCACCAGCTGGGCTCAGGTCTCCAATCCTGATCCTCGAGCAGGTACTCATGGACCATCTGGACTGAAACTGCACTTTCCCGTCCAGGAACCAGGCAAAGTGTCTTTTGCAACTGCTTTCCAAATCTAAAACAAGGTGCTAACTCAGTCGGGGTTCACTGGGTGTGGGTGTGGGTGAGAGCATGGCGTGGGTGGAAAATTGATAGTTTGTTCCCTTCATTTAACGAAGGAAAGAACGCGATCATAGGTCGGAATATCTGTGCTCTTCCTTTTGACACAACCCGAGCTTTGAAACTATATGCCCTCAAAACAACTGTTAAAAGAACTGTTCGTGATGTGACAAACCTTGTGGCTACTGTACTAACAGCGGTCCCGCGAATCTTAAAGTCCTCGCTGCCTTCCGTCCCTACAGCAACCCTTCAGTAGGCGCAGACGCAGGCGAAGCGAGCGCAGCAGCTGCGGGGTTCCGAACACTGAGCGCGGCGTGCGGGGATTCCCAACATCCTCCGCGCAGCCCAGGGCGCGGCTCCCGCCGCCGGGGGGTGGGGGGCGGGGTTGAGCGGGGCGGGGCGAAACTAGGCGCGCCCGGGCCGCCCCTCCCGCCTGCCCACCATCTGGGCGGAGCCGGGGCCGGGAGGCTCTCCGGCCTTGGGGGAGGTGGCCGCGCTGAGTGCTGCGCGCTGCTCGGCGGCTACGACGCGCTCAGTTTTCGCCCCCTCGGAGCCGGGCGCGCGCGGCCGCGATGAGCTGGGAGTTGCTGCTGTGGCTGCTGGTGCTGTGCGTGCTCCTCGCGCTCGTGGTGCAGCTGCTGCGCTTCCTGCGGGCGGATGCCGACCTGACCCTGCTGTGGGCCGAGTGGCAGGGGCGACGTCCAGGTGAGGACCGGCAGCCGCGCCTCCTGAGGGGGAGGCCGGGCTCCGTGCGGCCGTCCCCGCTGTCGCCGCATCCCTCCGGGTGGCGTGGGGCTTCCGCGCCTTTCGCGGGGGCTCCCTGTCGGGGAGGAAAAAGCCGGGGCCAAGGAGGCTGTCCTGCTCCTTGGTCTCTGGTGGGGTCAGCGGAGGACTTGCCCGCTCGCCAAACTAGGAGGGCGCTGGAACGGGCGGGGCGCCCTCGGGACTCTTACCCTGCCTCCCGGGGGTTCAGCTGTTGCGTCCACGGAGGACACCACTTGGACAAACAGTGCCCGTCCCCTGAGTCTGTAAGGAAGCCTCCTTTTCAGAACTGGAGCCCGGTTTATTTACTCCCAGAAGTTGTTGCCTCTTCCCGAGTGGTGAAATAAAAGGAGTGTCCAGACTCACCCCCCCCCCCCCCCCCCCCCCGCCGTACTCACGTCCTGGGATAAAAGTATCACCCTAGAAACTGGATTTTGCCTGGGGCGAGATCATTACTGGCATACTGAGGGGCATTCTGCCTCTCCCACTTTCATCGGTACCCTGGTTAAAATTTGGTGGTCGTTTCCTAAACACATTCTTTGTGCTCAAGCGATGTGACACGACCTCTAGCCTTTACAGAGACTTACAAAGTAGGCGTTGTTAATCTTATTTGCCCGATAGGGAACCAGTGTGCAGACATTAAATGACCTACCCAGAGCTAGGCTTTGGATCCATAAGCGCTAGGGGAAGTGGGGTTTCCCTGGACCTAGTTTCCTGTGTGAAAATACCCAAAGCATGTGAGGAAGTTTACTAGGAAGTGATAGCTAGCAGTGGAGAAGATAGACTCCGCTTTCCAAACGGGCCTGGGAGGCAGGGCAGCCGTATGGCTCCCAAGGGTATCAAAACTGGTCTTGAGGACCAAAGAAAAATCTTAGATGGTACAGTGTTTTGTATCCCTCCAAAGCTCAACCCTACTGCACAAAATCTTATTCCTTAATATTTGATTTGTCTCGTTGCATTTTTCTGGGGGATAACATCTGGAGTGCTGACATTATTGAGTTGGTGGAAAATACACCTCTGCAAGGTCAACACTACAAAACTATGGCAAATAGATGGCTGTGATTGTCAGACCTTCTCTGGATCAGTCCTTCTTTTGTCTGATGGCTGCCTTGTGGCTACTTTGTGGATATTTCCATTTGATCCTGAGTGCTTTTGTGTTAACTTGGACTTGAGATTACCTAAAAATCGTTTTTTTTTTTTAATTTAATTCTGCAAAAGTTATTCGGTCCATTAGTTATGTCAAGTGCTGAAGAGGAAAAATGTTGACAGTGTCTCACAGCTAGTTAAAGTTATTATCACATATCAAGCAAAAAATAAAAATAGTTCACATATCAAGCAAAAAATAAAAATAGTTCTTAAGAAATTCATTTGATCTTTTCAGTGTTTTGCTGGAAAAATAGTTTTGAAGGATTTTAAGATACATTTAATTACATTGCTATTATTATTATGAACTTCTAGAATAGGCTAATTTGCATACTAATTTGATACCTTATCATTTATCTAAGTAAATAAATTACATTAGAAGTTATTCCCCCAAAACAGTTATAAAGTTAAATGGCAGTGGCTTTTAAATTTTAATTTAAGTTTTAATTTTTAAATTTAGTCATTCTTAAACCTGCATTGACTGTAGAGTAAGCTTTCTAGAACTCTTTTTTTATGTATAAAGCACAGATATACATATATATATATGCAGCACATAAATGGATATACAGTATATCTGGTGTTAAAATTTCTTGGGGGAATTTTTAGGGAAAAAATCACTAGAAAGACCACTGGGGTTTGGGAGGGTGATAATAAAACAAAGTTAAAGCCACATGGAGATACACTCAGGTTCCCAGAACAGTTTAGACTGGAAAGACGAGCAGACTCTATTAAGGTAAAAAATATATATATTTTATAAATAAGTAAATCCTCCTTGTCTTCTCCATAGGTTTATTATTTTTGTCACCTTAGAAAATAGGCAATATACTCACATGCTACAAAACTCAATGACACAAAAGGATATGTGGTGAAAAGCTGCCCCCAGCAGCCACCAAGTACGCCTCTCTGGAGGCAACCAACATTTCCCACCTTTTATGTATCCTTCTAGAGAAATTCTATGTGTTTCTAAGGATATATATCACATGGTGAAACTGAAGGGCGACTAACTTCAGATACTGCACATAGATCCAGAAAAGTCCATGGCACAAGTCCAGAGGAGGAAGACTCCAGCCAGCAGCACGCCAGAGGAAAACTCGGGTTTTAGTTGGCAGTAACCTCAGTGTGAGTGGACTCTGGAATGACTGCCAGAAAAGATTTGGCAAGCCTGGGAGGCATGTAGTATGTGAAGCAAACATGGCAGTCCACAACCGATGTCTTCTGAATGGCTGCTCGTATGTGTCAGCCTCTGTGCTGGACCCTGGGACACCCCAGTGGCCGAGGCAGCCATTGTCCAGACCCCACGGGAGTCCTGGATCCTTCTCTGGCCAGTTCTCTTCAGCAGAAGCATTGGCCAGCTAGAGTTTGTGCAGAGGGGTGTGAGACAAAGAGTGAGGAGACCTTAAGCCATGTCATATGAGGGAAGGTCACAGACATTGGAGGTGTTTATTTAGCCTTAGAGAAGCAAGAGATGAGAGGATCTGGGATCATGACCTGAGCCGAAGGCAGACGCTTAGCGACTGAGCCACCCAGGCGCCCCTTCATTGTTGGTTTTAAGTCATATTTGCTTAGTGGTGTAAACGTGAAGAAATTTTTGTGAGCTGTATACTAGTTAGTAAATAGTTACAAACAATTATATTCGCTCTGTAGTCTGAGTATTGCAGAACTTTGGAACAATGAGCTGTCGATGAGTGAATACATATGATACGAAGGCATTGTAGCCTAGAAGCAGTATTTGGGATGTTTCCCAGCTTAGTTCAGATACTTACATGAAACCTCTTTCCTGAAGACAAGTTGTATTTTCTTGAATGGCTAAGAAATAGTTGGGTTTTAAAAGATTGATCATATTAAAATGTGGGCACCATAGGCTAGTGGTCAGAGTGTGGCTTTGGAGCTTATATCCCAGCTCTGCTAGGGTTGTGGCGTGCTTACTCAACAGTTACTGATGGAGTTCTTTCTATATTCCGGTCTCTGTGCTAGGCACTGGACAGTGAACAAGGCAGATAGGGTCCCAGCCTTAAGGGAATTTATAGTCTAGTTTGGTAAATTAATGCCTGTAATCCTCAGTTTCCTTTTTTTATAAAATTAAGATAATTCTTATTTCCTAAGTTTCTTGGGAGGGTTCTAATGAGATAATGTGTTTAAGCACGTAGGAAGTAATAAAAAATATTAAGCCATTATAGTTAGGAACCCCATTGCCCCTGGCTGGAGAAATTAGAACACACAAGTTAGTGGGTGAATATTCTATGTGTTGCTGCTGAAAAGTCTATTTGTTAAACACTTTTAGCAATGAGTAGTTGACATTTTCTTGAGCACTGAGTATGTGTCAGACACTGCTCTGGATACTTATTTTAACTCATTTTTCTCAACAGTGCTATGAGGGAGGTTTTATTATTAACCCAATTTTCCAGTTGTGGAACGTTAAGGCACCAAGTTTTCACAGGGCATTTCCTTGCTGTGTGTGATGGAGCCAGGATTTGAACCCTGGCAGTCTCCAGAGCTCATACTGTTACCCCCGACAATTAGGTTTTAGAATGGTTTGACTAAAACAGTAAACTGATTTCCCAATTTTAATTTTTATGATCTCAAATCAGAAATGTGTGTTGTGATTCCTTTTTTACTGTTTTTTTTTTTTTTTTTAAGATTTTATTTACTTATTTGAGAGAGAGAGAGTAAGCATGAGCAGGGGTAGGGCCGGAGCGACAAGCCGACTCCTCATGAGCAGGGGGCGAGAGGAGCCTGATGTGGGGCTTGATGCCAGGACCCTGAGATTATGACCTGAGCCGAAGTCAGATGTTTAACTGAGCCACCCAGGGGCCCCTACTGTTTTTGATGAATAACACATATTTTAATAAAGAAAGCACACAGGAGTGTTGTACCACAGTGACTCTCTAGGAATTCAGATAGACGGTGGCTATCATGTCTTGTAGTGCAAGTGAGTTTTTCAGTGGAGAAAAGGAGAACCAATCACTCCTCATTGCTTTAGTGTTGTAACATTTTTACAGTTTTGTTTTGTTTTTAAGATTTTATTTATCTATTTGAGAGAGAGAGCGAGAGCAGGGGCTGGGGAGAGGGGCAGAGGGAGAGAGCTGAGCAGGCAGCCCGATGCAGGGCTCCATCCCAGGACCTTGGGATCATGACCTGAGCCGAAGTCAGATGCTTAACCGACTGAGCCACCCAGGCATCCTTTTATTCACGCTTTAAAAAAAAAAATTAGGTAGGAGGTGTTTCTGAGGATATTTAATTAAAAAATTTTAAATCACTTTATTGAGCTATGATTAGCATGTTAAAAAAACTGTACATATTTAATGTATACAATTCAGTGAGTTTGAGTTAAGTATATGTGTGAGCATCACCAGAATCAAGGCCATAAATATAAGATATTGCAAATTTTAAACTCTACACATGATGTCTTCATATTTAGTGGTATGGTTTAAGA